AAAGAAACATATGTATATATAATTGTTTTTTTTTCCTCCTATAAACTCTTTTGGTCAAAAGAATTATCAATGTGTTAAAGAAACATATGTATATATAATTGTTTTTTTTTCCTCCTATAAACTCTTTTGGTCAAAAGAATTATCAATGTGTTTTTTTACATCTGAATAATTATAGATGAACCAAGATCAATTTGTTTTCTTCTCGACTAAGCAGCAGGCAGCAGCTTCTTCATGCGATTAAAAAGATTTGTAAATACAAAGCCAAAGCGCTTCGGGTTGCTTCATAATAATGATACACTTTATTGGTAAAATAAGAGGTGTATCATTTATTGATAAAAATAAGATGTGTATCATTGTTTACTATATAAATATGTTTTACTAAGTTAGAATTGAACCTAAGATCGTGAGAGTCATACTGAAAAATCCCAAATGTCCAGGTCACCTGTGATGGGTGATGAGTGTCATTGTTAAATTAAAGCAAGTTTTTCTCAGTGGTGACGATTTTGGATTTTTTTTATTTTTTTTAATATTTTTGTTTTAGGGGCAGTAATAGAAGTGGTTGTCGAGAAAATTAGAGAGGGAAACTCTAGTAATTTTGGGGTGGTTAATGGCATTGGGGTCGTTTTAGATGTAATCACAGTACGAAATAGTCTCAAGAAAGACTATAATACCCCCCTCCCTATTTAGTCCAAGATCTGCACATACTATTATATTTTAAAGGACCAATTAGTCCAACCTAACACCCCTCAAAATTTTGATCCAAACAACTCACTATTTTACTATAATATAAAAGAGAAAAGTTTGTTACTCAAAATAGTATCCAATCCAAACATGACCTTTATTAAACGGGCAAATTACGATAAACCCCCTATAATATCACCCAATTACGACTAGACCCCCTTAGTTCTAATTGTGCTCATACATCCCATTTTCTCGACCTTTAAAAAGAATCAGAAAGTTTTGTAGAGATGGACAGGCACCCTATAGTTCTATTAGTGGGGATAGAATCCCAAATGTTAATTTCTTTTGACACTTGAAAGAGTAAAAAAAAGAAAGTCTACCCGGGGGTTATTTGCACTTGGGCAAACCCGAGGGTAAGAAGGCCGGAGTACCAAGAGTCTATCTATCTGCAACAGTGAAACTGTATCTATTCCTTTATACAAATAGGAGGATCATAGATTCACTGTTCATGCTACAGTAAATACTACAGTAGCATTTACTGTAGCGTGATTACTGTAGTTAATAATTAATTAAAAATGTTACTGTAGCACACTGGTTTATTGTAACAGTTAAAAGGTACTGTAGTAGAGCGGGATACTGTAGCACTTACAAAAATTCAAATCATGCATATTAAAAAAAGCGGGATTACTGTAGCAAAAAAAAAAACCATGCTTTGCACGGACCACAAACTAGTTAGTGCGAAACGATAATATTACAGGAGGTTATCGCCTCAAAGAAATGACCCATCACACCCATCCCCATCCCTAAAAATTTCACTTTCCTTTTCAAAAAATAAAAATAAAAATAAAAATAAAAATAAAATCACTTTCCAAATGCATCACCCTCCTCCTCCTCCTCCTCCCTTGGGTAAAATCAATCACATATCATTTGCGACAAAAAACAAACACTTCCAAGTACTTTCCCCCCATCGAATAAAAAAGAAAAGAAGAAAAAAAAAACCAGATCTCTTTTTCTCCCCCAAAACCCCCCAGAATATCCTCCTCTCTCTTTCTCGATCTGATGCGAGATCGAGAAATCGAGGGAGAGATCAAACGAGAGGAGAAAAAGCCAAGAACGGCATCCTCAATGCCTCATCTCACCGATCCCGACTCCGACTCCGACTCCTCCTTGTTTTCAGTCGAAGAGATCGTGCAATGTCCGTTGCCAGGCTACGTGGCGCCCTCTGGCATCAGCTTCAGCCCTGATGATCGAATCGTCACTTACCTCTTCAGCCCTGATTCTAGTCTTTATCGGAAAGTTTTCGCCTTTGACACCGGCCGCGGTCGGCATGAGTTGGTTTTCGCGCCGCCGGGAGGGAGTGGGCTCGATGAGAGTAATTTGTCGGCGGAGGAGAAGTTGAGGAGGGAGAGGTCGAGGGAGAGGGGGTTGGGGGTGACGAGGTACGAGTGGAGGGCGAGGGCGAACGGAAAGCCGGAGATCATGGTGCCGTTGCCTTCCGGGGTGAGTTTCGGTTCTGTAGTAAATTTTCCTTCTTTAGGGGTAATTTTGGTGTTATTCAACTTGGGTGTTTAGTCAAAGTTTTTTACCATCCTGTCCAAATTGGGCAGTTTGTCTTCTGACAGATTCAGGCCAAAATGTAGCTTTTAGTGGTAGCACATCAGCAATAATGTTTCTATTTTTGGCTTAGTCGTCGATGATCTACTGAACTTATTTTCGTCAAACCAAAATACCCACAAGGGTAAGAACCGCATCTCCGTAGTAAAAACACTATCTTTTTACTCACTTCAATCGGTTAGTAGCCCCTTCTCAGACATTACTCGCCCTCACAATGAGTAATTTTCTTTATTTTTTGTAATTTTAAGAAAATCTGAATGAAATGAGGATAAACGGGAGCACATTAGCAGTAATGGTTGCTTTTGCATGGTTTAACTAGCTACCTAACTACCTTGTTACGAATTCACCCAGTTGCTAGTGCCGTCCTTGGTATTATTCACCTGTAAGCTGAAATTCTTGTTCTTGCTAAGTTGTCACCTAGCTACTTAACTTATTCCTGTGGTGATTTTCTTTATTGTTGGTATTCACCTGGAAATTAGACCCAACAAGCATAAGCATGCGCTCCCTCCTTAAATACTATTTACTGAGAAAGTTTCTAGCGGACACGGTTCATTGTATTAATTATGCTCCGAAGGGATACCAGCAACCGGATTGGTGGACTCAGGGAATTGTGGACTGATCCAATAGATGGCATCACTTTGGCAACCATTAATGCAATGAATTAGGACCTCTAGATACTTTCTCCTTGTTAGGACTTCATTCAGGTCACAATGGAACCGAGGATGGATGTTTGGAGTTACCTTGTCCCAGTGAGATCATGATCCTTTTTTCTATCCATTGTAGCTCCTGCCTGACCCAACATTAATGCTAATGGTGAAAATTTTACTCCTCTATCATCTGTGAACTTCTATATTTTAACTGCTGCTCATTTACATGAATAATGTTAATGCTAGCATTTCATTATATTGATTGCTAAGTGAGACAAGGTTGGTTATGATATGAGTCTTTTTATCATATATATTCTACAATTTCAAGCAGAATTTATCGTTTTTAATGTCAAGAATTTCATGTCTCTTATAGCTGCTGTGATGTTCTTTCTTGGCAGGTTTATTTCCAGGGTATTTCTGGTTCTTCTGAACCAGAGTTGAAGTTGGAGAGCACTGTGGATTCTCCTATTATTGACCCTCATCTGTCACCAGATGGAGATATGATTGCTTATGTGAAGGATGATGAGCTGCATGTTTTAGATTTGTCAAGTGAAGAGTCAAAACAGTTAACAGTTGGCGCAAGAGGAAATAGGAAGGTGATATTTTCTTTTGCTTATTAAGAAACTTTTCTTTTTTCAGCCCATGACTCCTATAAAGTATTAGCAGATAATCATCATGATCTTATTTAAGATAACATGTTTATTCTGAAGATCTTTATAATTGGTGACGAAGTCTGCTGGGGCACTAAAAAGAAATCTGGTACCTTTTAGGATATGATAGTCTTTTGTCATGGTATCCACTATACGCTTGAAGATGTTTCAATTTGTGCTGTCAGATGATGCCTATCGTTGCTAACAGCAATTGGATACTGTTGGTTTACGTTTACCCTTATGATGTTTGTTTCCCTTTTTTTTCTTTGTTTGTAGAAGCTAAAAGGTGCTGAAATGCTTTGTTTTGGACTAAATATGGAATAGGCCTAAATTCTTTCACTAGACCTTGAGCTGTACATGTCTACATATTCATCTGCCATCATCATCTAACTGTCTTCCTATAAGATGGGTGTGCGACAGAGTACAGGTGCTATCAGGTAAAAAAAAAGCATCACAAGCTTTTATGTCCATCAATAACCTAAAACTAATCCTCCAGATATCTAATTGATCCACGAGGAGCTTGGCATAAGACTCTAGGATCTGCTGGTAGATCTTACAAACTCAGTTTTGTGAGCAGGAAATGCTAACTTGTCGATTATGCAGTTTTACAACATGAAGTCATTGGGCCCTCCAAAATTTAGATTGAGAATATAAAGCATATAAAGATTTTCTTGTTTTCGACGATAGGAAAGATAATAGATTTGTTGCTAAGGATTACATTAACACTAATTCACAAAGTAAAGTTGCAAGAGACTAATAAGATACATTTCCCAAAAATACCATAAAAATTCTCTTCTAATGGGTTTCGCCTTTTGATGTTATGTTGTGCTATTTGATTTTCTAGTGGCACTTCCTTTATCTTGGTTGCCTTTGTATCCTTTGTCCTCCCCTTTATTTAGTATGCTTTGTTGCCATATATCTGATCACGGTACCCAGTGGTAGGATAGCTGGTCATACATGGTTATTAAGATGTTATCATGTGTTCTTATGCACTTCTATGTTTTAACATTTTTTTTATCATTTCTATTCTGTTTTTTCAGACTCATGGCCTTGCTGAATATATTGCACAGGTGCCCTTTCTCTCAATCTAAGCATATCTTTATCTAATTTTCTTTAAAAACATATCTAGCAATACCTTCCCACTCTGATTTCATATGTGTAGGAGGAGATGGATAGAAAAACTGGGTTCTGGTGGTCACCTGATAGCAACTATATTGCGTTTACTGAAGTTGATTCCTCTGCAATACCGCTTTTTAGAATTATGCATCAGGGTAAAAGTTTTGTTGGTTCAGATGCACAGGAAGACCACGCATACCCCTTCGCAGGAGCAGCAAATGTCAAAGTTCAGCTGGGAGTTGTTTCTTGTTATGGTGGGGAAGTCACTTGGATGGATCTTGTTTGTGGAGGGAAGTATCACGACAGTGGCGATCAAGAATACTTGGCGAGAGTTAATTGGATGCCTGATAACACTCTTATGGTTCAGGTTCTCAATCGAGGCCAATCCAGATTGAAGATTCTCAAGTTTGATATTAGGACTGGCCAAAAGGAAGTTGTGCTTGTCGAAGAACGGGATGTGTGGATCACCTTGCATGATTGCTTCACACCTTTAGATAAGGGAGCAAATAGATTGAGCGGTGGCTTTCTTTGGGCTAGTGAAAAAACCGGTTTCAGACATCTTTATCTTCATGACAAGGATGGAACTTGCTTGGGACCTATAACACAAGGCGATTGGATGGTCGAACAAGTTGCAGGAGTAAATGAGAATGCAGGGCTTGTTTATTTCACGGCTACGATGGATTCACCTCTCGAAGCTAACCTCTATTGCACGAACCTCTATCCAGATTGGAACCATCCATTGCAGCAACCTCGAAGGTTGACTCATGGCCAAGGAAGACATGCGGTTATTCTTGATCACCGTATGCAAACATTCGTTGATGTTCATGACAATCTTACTCTTCCACCTACAGTGTGGCTTCGTTATCTGCATGACGGAAGCTATATAAAGCCTTTATATGAGCAGCCACTTACTATTCCTCGATTCAGGAAACTTCAGCTTTTGCAACCTGATATTGTCCAAATACCAGCCAAGGATGGAACAGTTCTATATGGCGCTTTATACAAGCCTGATGTGAAAAGGTTCGGACCACCTCCTTACAAAACATTGATCAGTGTCTATGGTGGTCCAAGTGTACAGTTTGTAAGTGATTCGTGGATAAATACAGTTGATATGAGGGCTCAGTACCTGAGAAACAAGGGAATTTTAGTATGGAAGGTCAGTCTACTTGCTCTTTAATTGGTAGTTATTCATGGCTTGATGTCAATAATGTTGCTAACTGATGAAAAGTTGACTCTTTTAAATTTTAGAAGGATAAGCCATGATGTCGTCGTATTTTCTTTTTCTTTCATTAACTTTCTTATGTATATAGCTTCTAAATTACTTGACACTATCTATACTTCTATCTTCCATTTGCTTAAAATAAATGACTATCATATGCTTCAATTGGTAATCAAAAGCTCGCGGCTTCCCTGAGTTGTTTGCTCTAAATAAAAAAACGGTCTTCTTCATCCTGTTTGCAATTTGTGAGATTGATATGTTGTGTCAGACAACTTAGTCTGGATACAGCCATAGTCATTAACTGCAATTTTTTCTTCATCATTCTCCGTTTATGGTTTTAGTTTCAGGATTTTTTTTCCATATGATAGTAATTTTCTCTTGCAAATCTAGGCCTTAAAAATTCTGGAAAAAATTGAATCTCCTGACAAGTTAATAGTAGTTCTAGGGATATTAAGGCAGTGGTTCAGTCTAGACTTATGATGAAGGTTTCTATACTACCAGTGAAGTAATTGTTTGCATTTGGTGTTAGTATCATCTTAGTTGCCTGATTGCTTCGAAAGAGGTTAGCTGGAATTAGACTATCAAAATTTTAGAGCATTGGCATCTTGCGCGTAGTCCATTCTATAGTGGGAAATAGAAAATAACATTGCAAACTGTATAGTGCAGTCTACTAGAATTTTACTGGTAGTAACATGGTAATGAGACTGTCCAACAAGTTGATGGAGCCATACTAGAATTGCACAGTATTAAGATATTCATGATTATCCAACAACTAGTCAAAGGCACATAAATTAAGACTAAACAGGCCCATTTTAATGATTTACACATAAGTTAGAGAAACCAAATTACTGATTTCAGCATAAATTTCTCATGAATCAGCATTATGTTGGAATAGTTTAATCAGTCATAATTGAGCCCATAATGTGAAGGTTGAAGTGCAAAATAAGTGGGCAAGGCTGTTTGCTCGATTGACTTCAGTGGACTCTTCTACTTTAAAGACAACAGTGCCACCCATCACAAGTCAAATATTTATACTTGGAGTGATTAAATATCAATTGCCATCTATTTGGTACCATGAACGTGTTGCAATAATATTATTGGGGTGTATCCCCAAATGCTGATTTCACATTATGTTTCTCTGCTAAGCTACTCCTAAGTCCTGACTCTTGTTCTAAAAAAGTTAGTATTCATGAATCGAGAACAGGCTGACTATCCAAGTCTACTTTCCAGTTAATTAGAATATGTGATATTGAGTTAAAGTAGTTCAGTTCAGATTTACGCAAGTTCTGGTAGTAGGATTTTGATAGATTGATAGTGGCCCTGATAAAGAAATCACACACCTTGAAAACTATTGAAGAGAAAATGTTACACCCATTAAAGTACCTACAAGTTATTTACCATGGAGGACTCCCGTAGATTTTGTTTTTCCGATGGTTCTTCAAGCTTTCCATAGAAATTTACTAAGATCCTCCCGTGTAGAAGTGGTTTACACTCCAAAAGATGAACGAGGCCCATAGCTAACTAACTTCTTTAAGGTTATTGGTTTATTCAATTCAAACTTACTCTTTCTTCAAACTTCGGATGTTTGACTAGACCATTCAAAGCTAGCACACAAGTTACATCTTCTTGCAGATCAAAATAAAATTCATATTTGATATTCGATTTTGTGCACTTCTTATATTGTTAACTCCACCTCATTCATGGCAAAACTTGTATCCCAAACATCATACATCTCTTTTGTAACATTGGCAGCTAGATAACAGAGGAACAGCAAGACGAGGACTAAAGTTTGAAGGTTCATTAAAGCATAACATTGGCCGAGTAGATGCAGAAGATCAACTCACAGGTGCTGAGTACTTAATCAAACAAGGTCTAGCTAAACCCGGTCACATTGGCATCTACGGTTGGAGCTATGGGGGTTTTCTCTCGGCAATGACCCTTGCAAGATTTCCCAATACTTTCAAATGCGCAGTTGCTGGAGCTCCAGTTACATCTTGGGATGGCTATGACACTTTCTACACAGAAAAATACATGGGCTTGCCTTCAGAGAACCCAGAATGCTACGAGTATGGTTCAGTGATGCATCACGTGCATAATATGATGGGAAAATTATTGATTGTTCATGGCATGATTGATGAGAATGTTCATTTTAGGCACACTGCAAGGCTTGTTAATGCTTTGATTGCTGCCGGGAAGACTTACGAGCTGCTTATGTTTCCAGATGAGAGGCATATGCCTCGTCGGCTTAGGGATCGGGTTTATATGGAAGAAAGGATTTGGGAGTTTATAGAGAGGAGCTTGTGATGGAAGAATAAGGGTCCTCTCACAACCACCTGCATGCGAGTGGGATGCGAGCGGGAGGTTCAGAGCCCCAAAGGAGGAGGGACAGTTACAAAATTGTCCCCCTATTTCCACCACTTGTGGCTCAGAACCGCCTGCGAGCATGCAGGTGGTCCAGAAAGAACTTGAACTCAGTGATGGAAGGGGTGAAAATTTGAATTTCCCCCCATATACAGTTACCTATATCTCTGTTATTGTTCATTAGTTTTTTTTAATGCTATTATATTATGCTGGCGGAAAGATTCATGATGCGTTTGTACAAGCTGCAGGAAGTTTTTATTTATTGCGTAATAAAAGAAATTATTTGTTATGTACGTTTGATATAGGCACGTTATGTCAAGGAATGGCCCCACAAAGTATTTCTTGAATATCGATTCAATATCTTTACAAATCTCTTATGAATAGTGAATACTGTGATAAGATTCAGTAATACTTTTGTGAAGAGATTCTTTGGTTTGTTTAAATTATAAATATATTTGTTGTTCCAATTTGCATAAAATGTAGTTATCGCTGTAAGGCCAGCTATTTGTTTCGCTATTGCATTGTTTTTTGCAAATTTGCAAAATGACAAAAAACAATTCACTTACGTCAAAATGACTTTTGACTTGTTTCGACTTCCATTCTTTGCGATTATCTCTTTGCGGGTTTGTCACCATTGACCCTTTGACCGCAAATCAAGCTTCAACGTCATACAGGGTTCACTCCAGCTTTGTCTATATTATGCTGGCCGTAATTTGCCTCTAATTATGAGCTAAAGAGAAGGAGAAATAACCTCAATAATTGTATTAAACTGATGATTTATTTTCAGAATCAAGAGAGGCATAACCAATTGTATACAAGGTGGGAATCCAATGGATGCCAATTAACCATTCATCTCCACTGTAACATACACAATAACTCACATCATTTACATACATTAGATAACAAAAAGTCTAATATCTAAACATTTCCTATAAAGATTACAAAGCCATAACGAGGTACTTTAAAAAAAAAAAAAACTCCTGCGTTTGATTGGCTGATAGTAGCATGCAAAGAACCATCCGACTGACACATTGACAACATACAATTTCTTTCCGCCGGTGACAAGAGTACATACAAGACGAAACGTAATTGCAATGAGAAACAATTTTCATATTCAATTTTTCAGACAAAATGAATTATAAGTAATTTTCAGATCCAATTCTTAAAAAAAAAACAATGGAGCTAGAATTTTCAGATTGAAAGTTTTAAGAAGATTCCAAAAAGAGTTTCCATATAGGGCAACAAAAATGAAAGAATCGTGTACTAATAGTTTTCATGGCATGACAATATGGCATGAACTCCAATTGAAGTATTAGAAGAGGTACCTCGAAAAATTAGGTGACGCGGTTGATAACCAGTTCCATCACTTCTTAAGATGGAATCCTGATTATTGCAGATGTTAGTCACTTCAATGTGTATGATTAGTTGCCACAGCTTATAACCCTACAATAATGAAATATTTAGGGATCAAAGGATGTCGAGAAAAGATAATCAGCTGTCCACCAAAAGGCAGAACCCCTTAATCTCAACATTTCAACTAGTTTGAACTGGCTCCAGCCATGATTAAACATTCGCCAGAAAGTGGCTACGAAGCATAACTCCAGGCCAAGTACTGAACAAACTAGCTCACCAAAATATACGCTTCTCATAATTTTAATAGCAATGCGGTCAAAAGTATTAGCAAGAAAGTTTTGTACTCTTGATATAAATTCAAATCGACCTAAATGGGCTGGCTCCAGCCATGATTAAACATTCGCCAGAAAGTGGCTACGAAGCATAACTCCAGGCCAAGTACTGAACAAACTAGCTCACCAAAATATACGCTTCTCATAATTTTAATAGCAATGCGGTCAAAAGTATTAGCAAGAAAGTTTTGTACTCTTGATATAAATTCAAATCGACCTAAATGGGCCCTAAGATTATATTCGATTATTCAAAGGGAGTGAGGGAGGAAGGGGGTGGGTGGGGGGTGGGGGGGG